TACATTTGCTATAACACAGCCAAAAAACTCAAATAAAACCATTCTAAAAGCCTGTATCACAAAAATTTAAAAAACGCCTAGGGGTATTTGCCCACTGTACCTCCATACCAAATTTTAGGACCTTAGGCCCTAAAATGAAGAAGCTGAATCCGTTTAAACTAGAAAGGCCAACATTTGCTTCGGAGCAAATGTAGGAATTTCACTCCATACCCTTCCCCAAACAAAAATGAGAGATTCTAAATAAATCATACTGCAATTATACAAGGACAAGCTGTTTGAATCTCGACAGGTATTTACAAAATTGGCACTTGGCAATTATCTCCCTTTTATTTTACAAAGATACAACGACACGCACTTTAAATCTCGACAGCTTTACTTTACACTTTTGACGAGATTGTAACTACTACTAACGGAAGCAAAATTTTCACGGCCTGAGAAAAATGGACATGTTCACGGAAGTATATATTCACGGTGGTGACAGTTGCAGGAAAAAGAAAGTCCAGGAATTATTTCCTAACTGTAATGATAAGTTCACAATACAGAGGTGACAGTGAAAACCGTGAACATTGACCCCCCGCTTGCGTTGCGGTACAGTGAAAAAATCGGGAATTACAGCAATCAATTTACTGAGTATGTTTGCTTAGTTTCCAGATGTTTTGTACTTGTAGTTTTTAAATGAACGAAAACCGATGCGCGCACAGATGTTACTTTTGTGACAACATCAAAGTGATTTTGGTTTGTATGTTGAAAAAATACAAAAGACTAACATTCGAAGTTATTGAAATTCTTGAGTAAGAACAATCAGTTTTGGAATGTTAAAAGCAAAGGAATGGATATTAAAACGAAAATGTTAAAATTAAATGTTGAAATTGTTAAAATGTAAAATGGTTAAAATTGTTGAAATTGTTAAAAATGTTAAAATTGTTAAAAATTGTAAAAAGGATAATTAAAAAAAATATCCAGTGTACCGGGGTTCGAACTCGTAATGTCTGGACTTGCAGCCCTGCGCGTTACCAACCGAGCTATCTGGACACGTTTCCATTACTCTCTGCATTGTATGTCATATAAAGTGAACAACATGGCGGTAACGATCGCTTCAAGTACTAGTAAGGGACTTTCTAGGAGATACACTCTACAATTTTGGTGATTCGTCAGAAATCGATAACAGAATATATAATACTAGTCGGTGAAGATTGTGGAAAATTGTTGATACCGTGGCGCGCGCTTGCGCCGACGATACACGTTACCGTTGTTTACAGTACTCGCGGGGCGCAGGTCATTGACCTCCCGCTTGCGTTGTTCCAACAGAGAAGAACAAAATATCTGCCAGTTTTTGCGTCAGATTTTCAGTGTTTGTTAAAATCATATACAGGCATCCATGCAGCTATAATTCTTCCAACTAGTTTGGCCAGTAAAATGAGGGCAAAAATAGTCTAAATGTAAATGTAACAGTTATGTCTTACCTGCCTATTTGGCGAGTATCGCCGCTGGAATGTAACCCGAACCTTTTGTTGTATTGTTGATAGCAGTTTCGCCGTAGCGGGCATAAAATATGCATATTAATTAACACAGGGTCTTTTCTATGGGAGAAATTGGCTAGCTGGATGAAAATAGCCCTGTAGCTGTAGCTAGATCACGTTTCCACTGCTTTTACAACACTCCTTTTCGCTGGCCAAACTTGTAAACAAACATAAGAATGTGCCTACCAGGCGTAGGTGGTAGAAAATAAATCAATTAGCCATCAGCCAATCAACAGCCAGATCTACAAAAATGGCCACACCTGTTGCATGCTTGCATATGCCCATATTTGGGCCCGCCCCCGAATTCCTTTCTTATTACGTCACGCGCGTACGCCCCACAGTACTTTCCTATGGGAACAGCTAAAAACGCAAATAAAACGATTGTAAAAGCTTGTATCAAAAAAAATAAAAAAACGCCTAGGGGTATTTAACCACTCTACCTTTATAAGAAATTCCAGGTCGTTTGGCCCAAAAATGAAGGAATTGAATCAATTTAAAGAAATGGCAGGAGGAGAAGAAGAAGAAGGAGGAGAATCATCAGTAAAAACAGTATTTCCCTCCATACTAAAGTATGGAGTGAAATAAAAATGCATACTTTGTAATGGCCTGCACCAGAAATTAAAGTAAACAGTGTGGCCTAGTATTTTAACAGTCTGAGAAAATTGTAACTGTAGCTGAATCAAATGCTGTTTTTTTTTTGCTGTAACATTATGCATCTAAGAATACTAAAATAACTGTTATATTTTCCCTTGATTTGATAACTTCTATATGCTTACATGCTGCAAACTGAAGTGGAGGAAACCAGAGGTACAGTGTGTGTCCTTAGCTGCACAGAGAAGGAAACATGACATTTTGCACTCTGCTAGTAATAATTTGTCTGTATCAGTCACAAAATCCCACTTGTCATGTCTGCCACCAGACATTACAAACAATGATAATGTCTGCTTTCAGCTCATGGTCTTTATGTATACAGTTTGAAAACTGAAGCTGTATGTTGTTAAGCACACATTCAAGCACAGTCAGGTAGTTTCTGTAACATGCAAACACAGAATTTTCTCTCAGAAGCTAGTTTTAGTATAGCACAATACATACAACAGGTCTGTACATTGTAACTCTGAGTCATTCAAGTTATCAAGCATGTTATCAAGCAATACCTGAGTATCCAGCTATGATTGATTGTGATCAAGTAAATGGAACTTGTTGCAAGACGGTGAATTCTCCTCTCTCTGTATGTCCGTTGGTGCTCCTTTCATTCAAATTGAGATCTGTGATTGAGACCTGACCAATGTTTCTCCATCCCTGTGCCTGCAGTTCATGCGGTCGCGGGTAGGGGGCAGTCGAGGCCCACTGAAGGACATCACTGTGAAGTTGAAGGATGAGAATGACAAAACGCTCATGTTCGAGTCCAGATTCGAAAGTGGGAACCTCATGAAAGCAGTGCAAGTGTAAGTACTGGAGTATTATCACAATAAAGCTATAGAATAGACGTTGCATTTTGCAAGTGTTATGAAAAAGGGACAGTGATCTCGATCCAGTTTTAGCTTACTGCTACTCCTACATGTACACTAATCGTGACAGAGAAAAACAGATCCTGCATTTGTACAGTTTTTACAGGTTCGTTGTACTGTCGAAATTCCCCTAGCTCTTTTCAACAAGCACAATGAACAGTGGACCATACAAAATGTAGCTTAACTTCCAGTCCTAAGGACCACGACTCTTTACAGTGGCATGCACGCCGAGTGAGCAACAACAGCCGGGATTCAAACTCCCAACCTCTTCGTCCAGATGCAGGGTCACTAACCACTTGAATTCGCCAAACCATAATCATAAGATTATTGCTCAGTACAAAATGGTGTACGCAGAAAACACACACAGTGGTCACATTACTACAGAATGCTGAACAAACTTTGCTTGGAAACAAACATAACTTACGATATTTCCCCTTACTCAGAGATTAATTTTGCTTGCATGTAAACCTATCTCATGACATGTTCCCTTCCCCCAGAGGTGAGTTTGACTATGAGCTGTACCTGAGACAGGACCTGTACACAGACAAACACACACAGTGGTACTACTTCAGGGTACAGAATGCCAGGAAGGGACACACCTACAGATTCACTATAGTCAACTTGTTGAAGGTAAGAATTCAAAGCTATACACCTGGTACATGTATAATTTTTTTTATTATTAATAATGTGTTAATTTTTTTCCTTGATAACTCTTTGATATGATTATTATGATTATGTAGCTCTCATTTTGAATGGGTCATTCCAGCCACTACCATCTACATGTAGACAATTTCCTATAGGCAATACCACGTACCAGTAGTGTACACTGTTTGAATACTAGGCTAAGGTTTATAGAGAGTTTGAACTACTGGTATTTAACAAATTACTTATACTTACTTAAGGCCACACCAATTTAATCTGTTGGTTCTCGGATTTTTTCTGAAAAAATATGAAGCGACAGGGCGAAAAAAAATAAAAATAAAAACAGGTCTAGGCATCCTATTATAGGCTTAAATGCTACAAAATGAGCCATGAAGTCAACACAAAAGGCTGGGTTAAAATTTAAACATTGAATGTTGAACTTTAAATCAAACCACTGCAATGATAGATGGGAAAACTGTAACAACTAGGAAGAAAAGGACTTTCCTCAACTGTTGGGGGGCAAAACATGAGCATTTTTCAGTTGATTCAGGACAAGAATCAAATTTTTTTTTTTGCTAAATCAGTAAAAAAAACGAAGTAGGCGAATTCCGAGAACCAACAAATTAAATTGGT